CATTATTTTCATAGATGAGAAATATAATGAAAATATGTATTTTGTCAGTATCCAATTTATGGGAGTTATGTGAATTATGTCAAAAATGTCAGCTCAATCGATTGATATATGCATACATATGTGATTCTCAAAATTTTCCCATGAGTATATAATAATTTGATGACAGCTCCTCCAGTAGATTTAAAAACTCTATTCAAGGATCGAATTTACTCACCTGACTTGAAAGTTTAAAGTTCATTTTTTTAAATTCGTTTACTGTCAGTCTTCAAGCATAGCCCACTAACTAAAAAGAAAGTTTATCTTCCTTATTCAGAGGAATCTGGCAAATTTTGGATATGCAGTTGGTAAGTACCTCGTCCACAGTTTGTTGTTCGCTCCAACTTAGGAAGAGGGATGAAATACTCTGAAAGAATTCCGATTTTCAATTATGAAATATCATTGAATTTAGGTCGATGCCCGGAGAGCCTATTGTGAGGCAGTCGAAGACTTCACACTAGCTTCTAGGCTACAGAAGGCACTCTCAGAACGCCACCATGAGAGTATCGATATCCAAACGAGGGGAAATGGCGGCTTTGTCGCCATTTTCCCTCGTTAGAACCACCAGGAGAGTGCTGAGATTCTTATGGAAACTCACTTCTCAGGTTCTGTCTTTCCTGGAACGATGAACTGGACAGATGTACGAACAATAACCTCACAATACGACTGGCTATCTGCCAGTGCAGTAATTTATGAGGACAAAATAACATGGGCTATATCTAGCTTTTTCCCCTTCAAGTCACCAGGACCTGACGGTACAAGACCAGCCCTACTACAGTGGGTACTGGACACTCTTATAACGCACCTGGTTGGAATATTCAGAGCCTCTCTAGCTCAGAGGTATATTCCCAGTAAGTGGAGAGAAGTAAGAGTAGTATTCACACCCAAACCAGGTAGGATGGACTACACCCTACTAAAAGCATTTTGACCAATTGGTCTCACATCATTTTTTTTTAAACCATGAAGAGGCAATGTGAGCGGTACATAAGAGATGAAGTACTAGTTCACAGCCTACTTCATCCAAATCAGCATGCATATACTCCAGGAAGGTCTACTGATTCGGCCCTTCACCATGTGGGTAGCAGAATCGAGAGATCATTGGACAATGAAGAATCCACCCTGGGTATATTCATAGATGTAGAGGAAGCGTTTGATAAAACAACCTTTCCAACAATTACACAGCAACTACACTCCAGGAATGTACCCCTGATAGTAGGAGAATGAATACTCAAGATGCTTTCTAGTAGAGCAATAAGTATCAATGTAGAAGACATCACAGTGAAAAGACTGGTCATGAGGGGATGTCCACAGGGAGGGGTCTTATCGCCCCTTTTCTGGTACATAGTTCTAGATACACTGATTAATCACCTTAATAAAAATTGATTCTACACAACTGCATACGCAGATGACATAGTTATCTTGCAGACCGACAAATTTGTAAACACACTGTGCGATATAGCGCAGGATGAGCTCAAATTGATAAAAAGATGGTGAAAGAAACACTCACTGTCGATCAATCCCAAGAAGACTGAGATGGTCCTTTTTACCAAAAAAAAAAAGTTTAACGGGCTTAAAACTTCCCGAAATCTCCAAAAGCGAAGTAAACTTCTAACATGGAACTCTCATCTACAAAGTAGAGCAAAAAGAGCATACGTGGTCAATTGACGCTAGGCCTGTGGCGGGAAGCGCTTACTATGCAACCTCTGCTGTAGGCAACAAACGATGCAATTGAACCCAGGTTTGTATTTAATAAAGCCTACAAAATACAAATAAAGCAGAAAATAGAGTCAAATGACACAAATGCAATACGGATTTACACAGACGGCTCTGAAACCGAAGAAGGCTCAGGATGTGGAGTGCACTCCAGATCACTAAGCCTAAGAATTAAGTGAGGAATGGGAAGAAATACCAGCGTGGTCCAAATAGAACTGGCTGGTATCTCACTCGCCACAAAAGAATTAACCAAGAAAGGAATTTCTGGCACTGACAGCAGACAAGCCCTATTTGCCTTGAACAGACAACGTATAACATCAGGGCTAGTACTAGAGTGTTACCAACATTAAGCCAAAGTCTCGGTAAATAATAACATTATCCTGAGGTGGGTTTAAGGGCACGACAGGAGTAAAGGTGATCGCATTGCCAAGGAAGCGGCTGGACTAAGAATTTTAGGACCCAGTGGCACCTACGGCCTGATGACTTTGACAATTGCGGAACTAGTCAAGTGTTACACCCATGCTCAATCCTTAAAGAGATGGGACGGAACCAAAGGATGTAATCTTGCCAGGATCACCTTAGGTGACCCTGGGAAGCTGGCGCCGAAGAAATATCTGGCGATGACCAGGAAAAATCTACGCCTTACAGTAGGATTTCTGACTGGCCACTGTCAGCTAAGGAAACACCTACATAATATGGGGCTAGTGGACACACCTCTATGCAGGATGTGTGAACAGGAAGATGAGACTGTCAGGCATGTCCTGTGCGAGTGCCCGGAGTTATCGTCAATAAGAGAGTGTGTGTTCGGCGAGTCTTGGCCTACACCTGCCGATATAAAGGAGATGTCCACCTTCTTGGAAAGGACAGGATGGACGATGACCTAGAAGGACAACTCCTTGGGAGGATGTACAATGGGTCACATGCGGCCTAAGTACTCTGGCTTACACTCACCCTCCCTACTCTACAGATACAAATACAGATCAGGTCGATGATGGCCACTATCTTGCACTGATGAGTGGCTAATTAGCTCAAAACCACCCTTCGTGGTATTAGCAAATGTAGTAGTTGTTTTCTGATAGGCGTCAGTCCATTCAACCTACTGTGTAGGTATATTTGAGATTAACTCGAACGTTTAAAGTTAATTTCTTTAAATTTGTTTACTGCCAGTCTTCAAGCATAGCCCACTGACTAATAAGAAAAATATTGATGACAGTTCCATTAATTTTTGAAAATGATCAGTTGGAATTCTATTTGTTGCATAACACAATATTCCTCAGCTCATTCGAACTATTTCTGGACTGAATTGAGATCAGATACATATTTACCCTCCTTTTCCAAGAGTATGATTTGAAATATGCCTTTCATCATTTTTAGAGTTGAAAAAGTTTCTGCGTGGATTTCATTAGTTCGGACTTCCATTGTCATTATGATTTAAAATTCCCGCCAAACGGTCATAACCCGCAAAACCGGTGAAACGGTGAGAAGAAAGAAGAGATGGGTAAAAGCACTCGAGTGACCTATAAATAGTCACCTCTTGGAGGAATAGCCAGTGGGGGCCGTGGTCTCTCCCACGCATTATTCGCTTTACACTAGAGACCTTCCGAGGTGCGACCATGTGAAGGTATCTCTCTACGCCAAAGACACGGATCTCCACTGGTCTACCATGGGTCAGGAGCTCGGGATCGTCTACATGCAACGTGCATTGGGCGATCTCGAGCTCTGGTACCTCGAGTGGAAGATCCGAGTGAACCTGGAAAAAACTCAGGCGACAACCATGGAAAGAACGACATCTTCTCCGTCTATGAAAGTGAGAATCTCTGGAAGGAAGATTGACTAGCAGACGCGGGTCAAGTACCTCGGTCTTCTCATAGACCGTAGGCCCACCTGGAACCCGCAACTGTTAGGCGTGAAGGCAAAAATCCAGGGTCGGGTGGCAAGCCTGTACCCTTTGATTAACAGAAAATCTAAGTTAGGCCTCAAGAATAAAATCACGATCTATAATACGATGTTCAAGTCTGTCATCATGTACGCTTCAGGCGTTTGGGGACAAACGGCTCCGACCAACATCTCCATCTTGGAGACTTTACGTAATAAACTTCTACGGATGATCTACGATGTGTTATAAATCACACGTTAAAAGGTAAGACCTCGTTAATCGTTAGCTCGCACAAGTTTTGACTTCTGAGGGTTGTCGTTCGTAGGGATGCGTCAGCTGGTTAACGGAAAAACAGATTTTTTTCAAAACAGATTGTGGATGCTGCGTAGTTCCTGCGGAATGAAGCCATTCGCAGAGATTTGAAGCTGCCTTCCATTCAGCAGTCCATCCATTCGAGGGATCGGCGAGTTTTAGATTGCGCTGAAACTCACGATAATCCGTTAGTCAGGGAAGCTATATGTTACGCTGTAGATGACCCCTCTTGACATAGAAGGCCCCCGACACTCTGTCGAATGAGGCCCCTATGTCCTCCGTTAACAGATGAGTAATATCTTCATCCATCTCACCCCAGCCAGGTAGGGGTACACCCTCTGACGGAAAACAGTGCAAAGGGTGAGGGAGCAAGGCTCCAGCCTGATAAAAACGATGATAACTATCGACAATAGTCCAGTGTAGTTAGGAAAGCTATGGATTATGCTGTAGAGGACCCCTCCCGATATAGAAGGCCTCGACACTCTGTCGAATGAGGCCCCTATATCCTTCGTAAAAAGATAAACAATCTTTTCATCCATCTCACCCCAGCCAGGTAGGGGTACACCGTGAAGGGTGGCACTGATGTCTAAGGACATTCATGTCGCCATCTCACTATCCGTTATGACCCATTTATCCCTCAGACAAACATCAGTTGAAAGGGTGAGGGAGCCAGGCTCCAACATGTTGAAACCAAGATGGCTGTCGGAATAGTCCAGTAATCACCCGAAGACGATTTTGGATTCCTACAATCAAAGCGTCGCGAAGTAACTTTGTTTGAAATCGATTTTTATTCAATTTCAATTTTCAATATCTTGCTCAATTTTTATTTCAGGGTTTTTCTGTTACGCAATATGATTGTTATTTTCAGTTATTCGTTTTGGTTATCCATTCTATTTGTTGTTTCAGGGATTTCAAATCATATTATATCATATTAGATAATTGAAGTCCAAACTAATGAAAATCACCATGAAACATTGTCAACCATTTTCAAACAGTTCTTACTTAATTTATTTTTTATACAATACTTGTGTGCATTGTATATTTTACCGTATGAACATATTTATGAAATTTTCAGTTTTGGGATGGGGTCTTCTAGCCGTAACCGTAATTCAGATACTGATGTGGATAATATATGGTATATTCACGAATAGAGGATATCCAGTTGAAGGGGTGAGTTCCAAGATTCATCATATAGGTGAATTTATATGTTAAAATGTATTTTTCAACTTTTTCCAATTCAATTTTTCCCAACGTTCACCATTATATTGACATTCATATGATAATGTTATTGTGTTTCTGATATTAGTAATTGTATTTCTTTCCAATTATTTGTTTGACACAATTATTATCTCTTATACCTTTTCATTGTGTATGTGTATTTCGATACTTGTCGTATAAAATACTCAATAATCAACTGAAAAGTATATCGATTTATGATTATTACTACGAATCCTACCATTTGAATAGTTATTGAGATACTTAGTTGGCAAATTGGATAAAAGAGCTGTAACCCTTTTCATTTCTGATGTAATATTGAAAATACTTATGATGCACTGTTTGGATCCTTTGGTGTAATAATGAATATTACTGGAGTTTTTTCTCAACACCAAATCGTTATTTTTAACACATCGACACGTGTTTCGATCACCAAGTGATCATCTTCAAAGAGGAAGATTAAAACTAGAAACTAAAGCGAAGCTAACCCTATTTATGCTATATAGATATCCCATACAGGTGAATCATAACGAAATTGAATGTTAGAACTGCGATGCAAAATATTATGGACAAACAAAAAGATCTATTAAAGTAAGATATGAGGAACACATAGCACACTTAAAATATGGAAGACCTGAAAAATCAGCAGTCGCCCATCATATTTTGCAACAAAACCATTCCATAGACTCCAGTTCATTAAGATTAGTAAGACAAGTCAACAACAACAGGCAACTAGATGCCTATGAGAGTGTAGAAATATGTAAAGACAATATTATGAATAACGATGACGGACCTATACCAAAGAGCAAACTATATAGCTCGTTAAAAAAGATTGTTGGGTTTACTGATTACTACATAAGGACACATTGCAAAAATAAATATAGATAGGCAATATTGTGAAATTGATTTTTATATAGCTGAAAATTGTTTTATATACAGCTATAACAGTTAAACATATATTGTATAATGATAGATAAGGAAAAATTGTAAAATTAATTTAGGTTGGTATACCTGTATGGGTGGTACATCTGGATGATCTACCTGTATGGGATATCTACATAGCATAAATAGGGTTAGCTTCGCTTCGCGATACAAATGGATTAGAACTATATCCTCCTCTTTCATCATGTCTGATCAAAAACAATATTTTCAGATTATTGGAAAATCTTTCTCAACGGAGAACTGGTCTCCGAATGGTCAGGAAGAGAATGAGCAGTGGAGGAAATTCAAAGAAGATAAAATTGCAAAGAGAGGACTCGAACGAGGTAGCTGGTTATCTCAAAAAGTCAGAGATCTAACTGGATCGTAATACAGATATAAGACGTTTCTAAAATAATCTGTGATAAAAGATTTTGTATTGTAAGGAATAATATCTATCATTTTATCAATTAACATTTTCTTTCTCATGTCAAACACAAGAATGTGCCGTCATATAATATATTGTTAAAAGTAATATAGTGGAGTATAATATTGTTTCATTTGATTTCGAGTTTGAAATATTTTCACAAAAACCGCACATTGTGAGATATTTCAGATATATTTGAGGTACAATGTGATGTGTTTCGATATTACAACTCATTTGATATTTTGGGCTCCTTTGAATTTCTATTTCTATTTTTTACTGGTGAACTAGTGAGAACTAGTTACAATAATCAACCACTTCAATCCACTTTCTGTTCCGTAGTGTTTATTCCACATTTTCACATTTCCCATCTCATGAAAAAAACTCAATTCTGTTCTTGGAATCACTTATTCCGAGATTATTCATTCGCATAGTCGAATACCGAGGCAAGTTTTTATATCATTTAAAATGTGTAATAAATTAATAGTGAAGCATATTGATGAAATTTCATTAATGATTTCTACCGAGAACTTATGTTTTAATTCGATTTTTCGCTGATTGGGACAAATTAAATATGAATCTGACTAATGTAGCTTCTGCTTACTCAGAAAAAACCCCATTATCAATTCCTGTCTCAAAATCAACAATAATTTGTTTTGGTGCAGAAAATAATGACAAATTCCTGCACTGTTGTTCGAAATTGAAAAGTTTGTGTTTATCAGGCAACACAAAAAACACAAGTGGTACAGTGGTTAAATAAAGCAAATAAACGCAGGATTTTTCTGAAAATTTCGCATCTTATATTTCCTTATCTGTTCTATCGATCTGAAATATTTCTGGCATTGCGGCGTTGTCACTTCCATCAAAAAGTCCTACAAACTTTTTTTTTCTGGGACAAAAAAAAATCACTAGAGGAAAATGCAGGCACTCTAAGAGCGGTGCCCGTGCGAAAGTAGAGATCCACATTGAATTTGAATTGTTAGAGATTAAATCCATTAGAAAAAATGTTCTCAGGAAGTTCATTCCACATAAACGCCGTTTCACAAATGAAAGAGTTCTTGAACAGTGAAGTTCGAAGTGTGCTGAGTTGAACCTCGAAACGATGAGCAGCTATAGTCCGTTGCGTATTTCTGATATGTACCGTTCTTGGTGGAATCAAATATGCCAAGTCTCTTGAACAATTCCCGTGAAAGTATCTATAGTAGAGAGGAAAATCTCCAACCTGTCTTCGATGTTCCAGACTATCAAGGTTGCAGGGGCTCTTTTCTGCGTGGAATCCAGCAGCTTCATGCTATGCTCAGGGACAGAGCTGCATACATTAGAAAATCACTCTAAAGAAGGTCTGATCTGAGCTTTAGGAAGCATCAGAAGTTGTTGGGGTATATACAGTTTTCTGGTTAGGAACAGTGGTCCTAGTTTTTGAGAATAGGCTTTTGCAATTCCAGGACTACAATGACCGAGTCGCCTACATATCTCGGTTTCTCACACCCATAATAGTTCGAAATCCGTTATTGGAGATCGACTATTGGATCACTCCATAACACAGGGGACAACCCGACTGAGGCACCCCTCTAATATTAGTGCATTCCATTCCACCAAATACGAAGCATGTAGTTTATATATCCACAATCAAATGTGCCAAGTCACTTGAACACTTCCCGTGAAAGTATCTATAGAAGAGAGACAAATCTCCAACCTTTCTTCGATGTTCCAGGCTATTAAAGTTGCACGTGATGTTCGCGTCTCCAGTCAGACGAAAGACTCTTTCCTGGATGGAATCCAGCAACTTCAGGAGATGTTTGGAGGCAGAGGTCCATTCTGGAAAACGAAACTTCAAATAAGATCTGATCTGAGCTCCACAGAGCATCAAAAGTTGCTGAGGTGTGTACAGTTTTCTGGTTCGGAACAGTGTTCCAAGCTTTTGAGAAACAGCCTTTGAAATCCAGCGACATGATGGTGTCCATTTCAACCTCCAACAAACTTATCTGAGCAGAAAGTGGAATTGTCTGACTTGATATCATTATATCCGTTTCGGAGGCTTTTATCTTTTTGGAGGGTTTTTGTGGCATTGAAACGAACCTGGTAAGCAAAACTTTTTGCAATTTTTGGTTCAAATAGGAGTAAGGGAAACGTGTGACGTCATCAACGCAGGATGGAATGAGTATCGTAGCGATTCAAGCGTGGAACTCGGCCCCCTAAGTACTCCGCCTCACCTATCAGCTCCCTTAGTACCTCCGCCTTCAGCCCCCTTGAGACTCCGCTCCTCAGGCCCCCTTGTCACGTGATTCTGATTAAAAAAAGTTTATAGTTATGATAATCGAACCCACGACGTCCGCGTGGTAGATATTGTCCTTAGCCTCTACATCAATGTAAGACATTGAAAGTAACTGCGAATAATGGGTATTAACGGTGTAAGTTTTGTCAGGACCGAAATTGACTCATTTTATATAGTTACTTGACCGCATTTTTTTGATTTCCGTAGGATGTTAGGGAAGTTGTAATCATCATTATCATGTTGGAGATAGGAAAATATACTCAGATTTGGGAAAGAATTGATATTTCATATGAAGATGAGTATGTGTGTATAAGAGCGAGAGACACGTGTGACGTAATCAAGGCAAAGAGAGATGGAGATGGTATCGAGGTTTTACGTTCCTGGTGCAAGCAGGTGTTGCCGATTGTCAAATAAATCGTTGTTTATGGGGCAATGTAGCATTGCCGGTTTTGAAATTAATCGTGAACGACTCAATGAAAATTGGAAGCGCGAAAGTGATATATTAACAATAATGAATCAGATTTAGGAAAAAATATAACAACCTAACAGTTCAACTCGCGTTGCGTTGTGTACGAGGTGTCTTAAAATACATCATTAAAGAAAAAAACATGGCTTCGAAGTGTACAGAGTGCGTAAAAATATATCATTAAAAAAACATGTCGGTTTAAAATATGATATCAATGTGAATACAAGACGTTTCAAAATACATCATTTAAAAAAAATATGCCGGTTTAACCGAAGTGTAGCGTTCCAACATGTCAGAAGGACACCAAGTCTCGTATCTTTGGTAACCAAGTTAGCATCATCAGGAGGAGATTGCACCAAAGTTGTCGAGGAGTTATGTATTGTGGAGTTAACATTCGAAAATGGGGAAAGCGAAGTATTCAACCGTTTTACAAGCGTTTCGACCGTTTTTCGTGCGTTTTTAACCGTTTTTCGTGCGTTTTCGATCGTTTGCGTGCGTTTTCAATTGTTGTGCGTGCGTTTTCAATCGTTTTGCGTGCGTTTATCCGTTATCGTTTTATCGTTATTGTCATCGTAATTTCCAGACTCCTGAACAGAACCTTTTGGAACACTCAGCCTAACTCCTGATACAGAGTGGTGTCGGTCAGCCAATCAGAATGGAGGAATCAAATATCGGTCGATTGATTGTGTTAGATGAAATTGAACTGGAGAATGGGGGTCGAATAATAATAGTGATGAAACATTAAAATTTTGAAAGTGACGTAGTCAGCATGGGAGGTGGTGGCATGGTAGAAAATGTGTGATGGCTTATGAAAATGAATGAGTTATTTGAAAAAAAATGACATAACTGTCAGAAGGGCACTGAGTCTTATATTCGCTAATATTGATCAGATCGAGATGTATAGCACATCAACTGAAAGAGAAACTAATGCAAAATGTTTCGACAAAGAAGAAACAAAAATGGCGCAACATGTCAGGAAGGCACTTAGTCAAATCTTCGTTGATGATGGTTGAATCTCAACGGACAGCATATTAAATGAAAAGGAAACGAATGCAGAATTCATCGACAAAGAAAAAAACAAAAAATGGCCGCAACATGTCAGAGGGGCACTGAGTTGTATATTCACTAATTTTAAATTCAATGTTATTAGGTTACGAACATTTATAAGTTCGAAGCCAGCAGTTCGAATCATAATCAAACCAAAAGGGGCTTCGAAATTCTGGAGGCGAGGGATTCTGAAATTCACGAGACACGTTTTCACTATCACACTGTCACCACTTAACTGGCTAGGTTGGCGTGAAGTTGTGTGTAGTGGATGGTGAGGTGAAGACCAAAAGTAAATAATGAACTATTTCGAGCATAAAGTAAATGAACGAAATGTCCGATAAAATACACGACTGCGATCGATCTGTTATTGATTATCTAACACTTCCAAAAATTCCCGGAGTATTCCTTTTGACATTACAATTATCATTTATCTAATTCCTGAAGTCATTCATATCTAGTGCAGGAGTTTTATATAAAAGAGATGACCCCATCAATAAAAATCTAGAATATTCATATCTTCAGTTCTTTGTCTATGAATTCTGCATTCGTTTCCCTTTCATTTGATATGCTGCACGTTGAGATTCCACCATCATCAACGAAGATGTGACTTTGGTATGTTCAATACGAAGTCAACAGAGGATTACCTGGTGTTTTCCCTTTTTTTTTGGTGGGTGTGTCCAGGGTTTAACGGATGGCTTTATTTCGTTCAGTTTCGAATTCGTCTGGAACCATACCCTCTGCCACTCGTTTATTATCATATTATTGATTTATCTTTTCGTATCAGACGGAGTTATTTTGGTGATTATCCTTGACCTATGATCGTCTATCGCTTTTTTGGCTGCAATATCTGCCTTTTCATTACCAGCGATTCCAATTTGCGATGGGACCCATAATAATATTACTTTTTTCCTAACCCTTCGATTCTATATAGTTCATTTTCTATTAGTAATATTATGGGATTGTATATAACTGTTACATACCCTTAATAGCACTCAAAGAGTTTGTTACAATTAGAAATCTATCAGCAGGATGATTTTTCAGAAATAATAATGCTTGTAGTATTGCGAATAGTTAAGCTGTGTATATACATGTGGCTTGGGGAAGCTTGTATTTTAATGTTTCGTCCGGCGATACAACAGCTGACCCAACTCCCTGATCTGTTTTTGAAGCATAGGTGTACATAATTACATGGTTCTCATAAAGGGTTAGATTTTGTTTTAATAAGTTTAGTAGAATTTGGCGGAGAGTATCATTTTTCGTGTAACAGGATAAAGAGGAATCACATATAAGGGGATTGATCATCCAAGGAGGAAGGGGTAGTTATGGAGTTGGAAAATAATGGAGGAAGTGCAT